AGACACAACACCTAATTTCCTTCTAACCACGTCTCTGTTATAAGAGCTAGATCAAATTCCTCTTCTTGTGTCATCCCATGGAGATGTGCAGTTTTATGCTGTACTGATCTTGTATTGCACAGTATTAATGTAGAGGGGTGGAACAGGGACCCTTGTTCCGCCAGGCATTTGGTCAAGGACAGCCATTGCCTCCTTCTGGCACTCCCACCCATGAGACAGTGGCCCTTTCCTTTTATCCCCTTATAAGCTCACTGATTCACACATCTTGAGCAGCAGAAGATGCTTGATTCTTACTTTTTTTAAAATGCAAGGGCTAAAAGGAATAAGACAAATTTTGTAGTTGCTAGAGTAAACTTAGGATCCTTATCACTGAGCAAAAGAGCTAGGGTTTCCAGAGTGTAGGGGGAGGGTTGGTTGATTAAAGGCTTAATATAGTGATCCCTTATCTCAAAGAACCTGCATTCAAGCAGGGCATGGAAGGATGTATCTATCCTGGCCACAAGGGCAGATTCTGTCAGAACAGGGCTTATTCAAAAATCTCCCCTGTAAAACTATTGTAGGAATAATATTCAATCTTATAAACAAGACAGTACATATAGGGGTGTAAAGATCTTGGGAAAGAAAGACCAAAAGATAGGGGTGAGCAAACTCTGCGGGCTCTCAGGATCAGACTACTATAATCAATTTCTACCGTAGGACACGCTTTTTGACCACAGAAAATGCTTTGGACATGCCCATCTGTCATGACCATGGGCCTATAGTGTGGCCTACAGGCTCTGAGGAGGCCTAGTGGCTCCTGGGAAGCCTGCATTGGAGCATTATCAGAGCCTACATTTCCCAGGTTCCCTCTGGACCCTGTGATTGGGTAAAAGGAGGGAAAACTACATCAGCAGGGGAACAGAGAGCAGTGCCTGGGGAGAGGAGATAAAAGGCCTTACCCAGCGTGGAAGGGTGTTCTCTCTCAGGGAGCAGGGCTGGTGGAAACTACTGCAGACAGAGGGATCCCTCATCCAAGAGGGGTGAGTTAGACTGTGAACAGGCACCTAGGGAAGGCTAGGACTGTGTAGACAGACGCGTTAGCATTATTTTACTGATTTACCCACCTTTACTTTGTTCATTTTCCCTACTTGTTATAAATCTAAAGTTGTTGTTAAATTTCTTAATAAGACTATTTGTTACTCTGCCTGGGTCCTCACGCCTCATTTGGTCACATACAAGGGGAAACCTATTGTAAAAGTCCTGTAGAAAGGGGTAGCGTGGGTGCTCTGAGCTCTCCCAAGGAGACCCATACCAGAGTGGTGGCAGTCAGCAGTGTTCCCTCTAAGCTGAGTTAGTGTGAGCTAGCTCACAATTTTTTAGACTCCAGCTCACAGATATTTGTCTTAGCTCATGAAGGATAGATCCAGAGCAAACTAATTTATGCAGCAGCCAAATCACTCACTCACAACTTTAATAGCCAGTAGCTCACAAAGCAGAATTTTTGCTCACAAGACTCCACAGCTTAGAGGGAACATTGGCAAGTCAGTAGTGAACCTTCCTAGCCTCAAAACAACACATGCAGTAACACAATCAATGTGCTAATCATGCTTTTGTTCTTCCCGTTTCACTTCTGTTTCTGACTGGGGGGAAAGGTGACTAAACTAAAAGGGAAGCAGATAAAGAAATGCGTATATGATATAGCCAGCAAGCCACACAATAAAGCGATTGATAAATCTGAAATATCCCAAATTGCCTTGAGAATCTGACAGTGCTTAGCTAAAGATTTTCAGGAGATTAAAGCAATGCAAGCTTAATAGCTATACACAATTTCTGTTTATAATCCTTGTACTTAAAATGTTTATATTCACATAGCACAAGCAGAGTGTTTAGGCTTTTTCCAGCCACATTGACGTAGGAAATGATGCAAAACATGGTAAGTGATTAAGAGGGGATTCAGCCTTATTTGAACTACAGCAAAATACAAGGCATCCCTAAATGTCCTGTCTCAAAAGCCTATCAGTTAAAACATGAGATACTACCACTCTAATGCAAAAGGACTGTGCCTTACCATTTTTGTTTCCAACAAAGTTTACAGTAACATACATGAGCAACATTGCTGCATCCTTCCTGCCTATTCCTAAGGGACTTGATGCAATATGAGAGTGTAGTATTTGAACACCATTCAAGTATGAGGAGACACAATTTCAGGTGTTCGTCCTCAAACAGAATGAAATTCACAGCAGCTGCAATAGGACAAACTACAGGCTTCAAAACATAGAACACAGAATGTATTCAATACATTCAAAGGATTTGGCTGCTTGAGTAAACAGGGTGGAATCAAACAATAATGAACATTTTACAATGTGTTCAAGACAGCCAATGACTCTAAACCAGGGCTGCTTCCACACCAGAATGATTTTTCATGGTAATCTGGTTGCTGATGCGATTCTGTGTGAAATCGCCCTTGCAACAGAGATTCCAGACAGCCCAGGGTAATCCATTTTCTATCCCTTTTTAGTGGTGGCTTCCCTTGCACATATGCACTGAAGCTCCCTCTCCAGCTGTGTTGTCATGTGACTCTCAGGATTCTTCACCCACTCTGTTTTATTTTTTAATTATTTTGAGGAGCATAAGTAATGCAGTGCTGCACAGAAATAACACAGTTCCTTTTTTAAAAAAAAGCTTTAAAAAAATCTCCATGCATTTGCAGACACCTCCAACAATCCTATCTCTCCCTCCCTAAAAGGCAGCATGAGTTGTGGGTGATTATCTTCTGGGTTTTTAAAAAAAATCATCAGTAATGCTGGAGAGGAATAACACAATACCTTCAACAACATTTTTTAAAACTGCAGAGGCTCCAACAACCCCTCTCCTCTGTCTAAAAGGCATATAATTATTTTCTGTTGTGCTAATTATTGCTAGGAACTGGTCCTTTGCGGTCATCAACAAATGAAAAGATTAACTGACTAGCTCTTCACCTATTTCCCCTTCAAACACAAGAAAATGCTCCTGCTGATTGCATCCTGCCCAGGAAATACCCTTTTTTTTTTACAGGTTTAACATAAAGCGGTGCAGGTGTGTGTGTGTGTGCACAAATACAGGATGACATATTCATATGGAAACGTGGGAAAAAAACCCTGCACCAGTTGGCTGACTGAAATGTGGGAAACCCTTGGTGTGGAAGCAGCCCAGGATACAAGTAGGGGGAAAAACCAACTCAGCACAACTATTCCAATATCAATAACTGTTTTGACTATAATGATTTTATGAGGTTTTTCCCTCCCACAATAATTGAGTCACCCCTACTAATTTACATGGATCTGACCTAAAATAAGTAAATAAACAGTGGCTTTCTCAAGTTAACCTTAGAGCAGTTTCTAGACTTAATACAGGGGAAAGAATGTTCAGAAACATAGGGTGGTATGGACAAAGAACTCCACTTTCCCCCATCCTCTTCAAACCTATACTGATAAGTCTAAAATAGTAGTCTTCTTATACCTTATGCTGAGGATTATGGTATGTATGCATGGGCCATGCGGGGGACCCTGAATATAAATTCAGCATACATTATATCCTACATGGACTACACTGTCCCAGTATTCTGTCTGCACTGGACCCCTGCCCAACTGCACTGCAGATGGGAGACAATCATGCGGCCTACAAAACAAATGCACACTGCAGGAATGGTGCTAATGTAGGATTCTCACACTGCCACATTTTGGGGCATCATGTCCCACACTCCTGCTTGAGGGTTAAAATGCCAGAATGGTGAATGTTGCCTGTGCAGATTCCTCTGCAGAATCTCATGGCATTAAAGACAGGTTTGCTTAGAAGTTCTGCAGGAATCTTGATTTGGATGTTTGGCACAAAACTGAGAATGGAGAAATAGTATCTGAAGAAAGAAGATACAAGGTATTGGGTATTTTTACTTCAATTTTACTCATACACCTGGTGTAGACACACGCACAGCATGCAATTCTCTGCCTCTGCTATGTGGACAATCACAGATAACCTGCTTAGGGAGATTGGATACATCCCCAGGGGAAGTATAATGAGATAGTTTATCTCCCTTTAAATGAGTAGGATATTTCTGTCCTACAAACTGCTACACCTAAGTCACCACCAGTGTCCCAATATGTGCTACACTGTCCCTTTAGAAGACAGCAAACCCTTTCACCCACCTCTTTTTTTTTAATCAGTCCTCAACCGTGACTTCCAGTTCAGACTCAGATCATACTATGTCAGAGGCACAAGATGCTTCAGATGCTAGTTTCAAAGGCTACAGCACAAGCCAACTCTTTTCAAACTCCTCAGAGAGATCAGAGGAGTCTAGCCTGGCTCCTCCACTTTTAACAGCCCTATGCCATGCAGAAATTCAACAGCCCAAGCTTTTCATGGCAAAGATCTGCAAGGTTTCTCCAGGTGAATTTCTGCCTGTCATGCAACTGGTCAAAAGAATCCCAGGAACCCCCAACCAAAAAAAAAAGTGGCAACCTTATTCATGCTTGCAAGATACACACCAGAGACCTCAGATGCTGACTCCAGGCCACAAGATACTACACTGCTACATGTCCCCAGCTTGTTAGAGAACACCCATACGAAAAGAAGGTACAATAAAAACGGTGCGATGGGAGACTGAAAGGAGGCCTAGGAGGCACCATCAGAGCAACTGAAGCGTCCTGAGAACAAGCGGCGGCGGCGGTGATGGGGAGAGGGAGGGAGAGACCAAGCCATGGAGTGAACTAGAGAAAGACAAAAATGAACGCAAGGTATTAGCTCTGGTGGGAGATTCAGGGTGGGGAGACTACTGCAACGGGGGGGGGAGGGGGGAGTAATGGTGGGAGCAAGGATAGAGAGACGTATCAGAAAGCTACTAAGAGTATCCAGACCCCACAAGGGAGGGCAGACCGGATTAGAAAAGAATGCATGGGATGAAATGGAGGACAGTAAGGCGGGGAGGGGGGGAGGCAACCTCACACTCCCCTCCAGGCCCGACCCCCACAGCCCCTCCCCGTCCTCACCTTCTGCCGGATCTGGCCAGACGTGGAGACCTTGCGAATAAGTTTCTGCGGGGATCCGGGCTCTTGCTCGGGCTCGCTGTCCGACGACTCCTCCGCTGCCGCCGTAGGGGCAGCGGTTGCAGCGGCGGCGGCCCCGGCCTGAGGCTGCGAGGGACCCGCCGCCGCCATGCTGCACCGTAAGGAGCAGGGCGGGCAGCGCCACCTAGCGCTCCAAACTCCGACTGGCACGCCGGCTGAGGGAACTAGGCCGCGGGACGTGATGGGGCGGGGGGGGAGAATGGGCAGGCGGCAGCGGCGGAGAGGGCCCCCTGGCGGCCACACTGTGCACTGCTGCGGCGCGCTTCCACGTACGTTGCCTCAGGACCAAGATCCTAGAGAACTGTATGATATGGATGCTCTACGTACAGATGATGTGAAATGCGCGGATAATTAGCAGGTGGAGCGCTAGTTTAGCTCTGTTCAGACACTTCCCTGCTGATGGGGAAAGAGACTACGTTCGGTCGTTCCCTGCCCCATAAGCGTTTAACTTGTGACTGGAAGTTTTCTTGCACATTATGATGCGCACCAATCATGCCCATTGACAAACTGACATACAGTCGTTCTATATGCAAACGTGTCTTCCGTGTAGAAATACTGTAATATGCAAAGCATTCTTCAGAATATGCAAAGCATTCAACAGAAGTATAGTGTCCAGATGAAATGAAGTGATGGTGTTGGCTTTACTCTGCACTGATTAGACCTCACCTTGGGTATTGTGTTCAGTTTGGGGCACCACAATTTAAGAAGGGATATAGACAAACTGGAACATGTCCAGAGGAGGGCAACAAAGACCGTGAGGAGTCTGGAGACCAAGTCCTATGAGGAAAGGTTGAAGGAGTTGGGTATGTTTAGCCTGCAGAGGAGACGACTGAGAGGTGATATGAAAACCATCTTCAAATACTTGAAGGTCTGTCATCTAGAGGATGGTGCAGAGTGGTTTTCTGTTGCCTTAGAAGGTTGGACCAGAACCAATGGGTTGAAATTTAATCAAAAGAGTTTTTGGCTAAACATTATGAAGAACTTCCTGACAGAGCAGTTCCTCAGTGGAACAAGCTTCCTCAGGTGGTGGGCTCTCCTCCTTTGGAGGCTTTTAAACAGGGGCTAAATGGCCATCTGTCAGCAATGCTGCTTCTATGAAGTTAGGCAGTTCATGAGAGGGGGGGCAGTGCTTAGTTCTTGTGGCCCTTTCTTACAGGCCACAGGAAATGCTAATCACCACTTTGAGGTCAGGAAGCAATTTTTCTCCAGGCCACATTGACCAGGGATCCTGGGGTTTGTTTATTTATTTATTTATTTATTTATTTATTAATTATTCGTATTTATACCCTGCCCTCCCAGCGAACCGGCTCAGGGCATTTGTCATCTTCTGGGCATGGAACAGGGGTCACTGGGGGTATGGGGGTATTTGTGAATTTCCTGCATTGCAGGTGGTTGGACTAGATGACCATAGAAGTCCCTTCCAACTCTATGATTCATACAACATCAACAGTATAAAAGCTGCATGTAAGTCATGAGTCTGTAAATAATTGCATGTTTACAGTGCTCATCTCTCTTTCAAACAAAGAGAAGGAAATATAGTGTTATCTGTTAGAGACCTCTTGGCATCAATAAGACAGGCTGCTCAGCAGATAGAACACTTTTAAAACGCCTTTTACTTGTTGCATTTTTATCCCATCCTTCCTCAAGAGACCTCTCCCCTCCCCCATTTCCTCAACTTGTGAGGTAGGTTAATCTCAGTGGGGACGACTGGTCACACCCAAAGGTTTATGGCTTGAGTGGGGATTTGAAACCCAGATCCCCAGTACTAGTGCAGCACTCTAACCACTACATCAGCTCTGTATTTTCCACATGAACCCCAGAATCTCAGTAATATATGTCCAGTTTTGAGAAAGGTATCGGGGATATGTAAACTCTACACCAATCATATAGTGTGACCATAAGTCCACAAGCTTCCATTACTGCTTTGAAAGGAGCTGTTTGTATATAACCACAAGCTGGGCAGTCAGTGACTCTGGTGCCCTGAGAAAAAAAGTCCAGGATGGGGCCCCAGAATCACTGCCACCCCCACCACCCACACACACACACTGGGGCCAAACAAGGAGTGGTCCTCACCCTGTGCAAGGTGGGCAGGGGGCACCACTGTTTCTGGAGCCCTAGACAGGAAAGGTACAAGAGGTGGCAGGAGACTGCTTCATTTTCTTCCTCCTTTGAGGGTGGAGCTGTGGGCTGTTGTCCCCCCCCCCCAGTGCAGGCCTTAGGGAAGCTGCCGCTGTTGACCATTGGCTAAGACCATCCTGGCTACAAGTAGTGTATGCTTGAGGTTCTGCTGTTGAATCTAGGGTTGCCTGGTCCTACCTGGCTACTAGCGGGAGATGGGTGATAGGGTTGCCAAATCCAGGTTGGGAAATTCCTGGGGATTTGGGGATGGAGCCTGGGGAGGACAGGGCCTCAGTGGGGTACAATGCCATAGGCCATTCTCCAAAGCATCCATCTTCTCCAGGGGAACTTATCTCTGTAGTTTGGGATCCCCAGGTCCCACCTGGAGGCTGGCATCCCTAGCTGAATCATGTCCTCAGCTATATGAACTCTGTGGATTAGATCCATGAAGCAGTTTATAAAGTGGACCCAGCCATTCCACTGCAGCCTAATAGCAGCCCTCATACTCTAATGCCTTATTAGAATGGGAACAGGCATAGTCCAGAACGGTTGCCAAGAGAGAAGCCATCTTTACTATTCTACAGAGTGATGATGCATGTGGAGTGCTTTGACTTTCGTTTTCTCAGCCGTTTAAGTGGAACAGTGACATGAGGCATCTGAAAGTGTTCCGAACAAACGAGTGTTCGTAGTATGGTCTATTAATATTAGCTATCTGACTAGGTTGCACAAATGGCCTTTCCCTATGCCATAGCCTATGGCATTCATCACCAAAACTTTCTAAGCTGCTATTACATGGTGCCAAAGAGATGCCGCACACCATGTCATCTGAATTATGGGCCAGGGTTATATATATATGGCTGATGGTAAGCTCTGAATTGCTGCAGTGTTATTTGGCATCCTGTGCTCCCACAAAGGTTGCCTGGACATGGCAAAAGGAATGTTAGGAAGTCTGTCTCTTCCTTGACTGGAACTAGGTGTGTAATTATAGCAGAGCCTTTTTGCTCCTCTGCTGGGTGCTGAGAAGGAAGGATTCGGGGGACAAAACTCATGGTGCTTATGCATTTGGACAAGTCATGAAATGTTTGGACTTGGATCTGCAAAGAGTGAGAGGGTCCCAGAAAGAATCTTTTTCTGGGATCCACAGTAGCTGTCTGGTGGCAGAACTGAGACACCGACCCAGAGGAGCCTGGGATCAGGACTAAGCTGGCCCCTTCTCTGCTTCTTCCCTGATATGCCCCGGCCCCTTCCCATTTCTGGCCAGTTACGTCACTGTAGTTTAAAATTGTTACTCAAATTTACAGCGTTGTAAATAAAAGTTAGCTTCCTTATACCTCCATAACTTTGACTTATGATGTTTTAAGTATTTAGTCCTTTCCCTGTCCTCATCTGGGTGGTGTAACTTGCAGATAGGATTACATGTCAGTTCCAAAAGGGAAACAAGCAGATCTTTTACTAAACCTGCTAGGAGCTGCCTGGGTAGTAATAACTAAGTACTGGAATGAAAATGCACATCCTCCAACAGGCTAATGGTTAAGAAAAGCTTGGGACATTTTTTTTTGCACAAAATTGATTTTTTATTGCGCACCAGAACTCTACACACAGCACAAATAATAATTTGCACAATATGCTTTGTATATCATGTGGAATTCCTTTTTTTTTTTTTTAAGAAACATTGTTTCTTTAGCTACACTTTAGTTAAAACCATAGTGACAGACCCTTCATAGTCTCTCATGACAAAACTCAACTTTGTATTTTCACACAGTCCGTAGCAGCGACAGTAAAGTAGGTCAGATGGTTCTTTTCTTTCTCTATAGAACTTTTCTGGACAAGAGAGCTGTGCACCGTCTCTTTCTTCTATTTTATTTCACAAAACTCTAGTTACAGAGCCAGTGGGTATAGTGGTTAAAGGTGTTGTACTCGTATCTGGAAGACCCAGGTTCGAATCCTAACTTGCACCATGGAAGCTCATTGAGTGAATCTGGGCAAATCACACTCTCTTAGCCTAATCAACCTCACAGGGTTGTTGCGAGGATGAAATGGCAGAGAGGAGACTGATGTAAGCTGCTTTGGGTCCCCATTGGGGAGAAAAACGTGATACAACTGAATGGATGGATGGATAAAGTAAATAAATAAATGAAAGCTCTCTTTTTGGATTAGAGGGGCATCAGCATCCTGCTGGTCAGACACTATGTAGCAACAGAAACTAGCCTGCTTTACCTTTCTCCCACCTACTAATAACATTAAGAAGAGCCCTGCTGGATCAAACTAGTGGTCCATCTAGTTCAGGATCCCTTTTCACACAGACCTGTTTCCTACAAGCCGCTGCTCCGTCCTCGATCTTCCATTTACCCCGATCGTATGTGTCAATTTCCCACTATTTGCTACACAGCTGCATTTTGCTGTGCAGCTTCGCCCAATTTCCCCCACGTCTACTCGATCCTCAAAAAACAGGAGAGTAGACGCGGGGGAAATCAGGCAAAGCTGCACGACTGTTACCATCTGTCTACAACTATTACTATCTGTCCTAGCCCTTTATAACCAACTCGCCGTGAGCGCTAAAATGGTGGGACTGCGTGGAGCTGTGGCCACTAAGGATACCATCCTGATGACGTCATCTGTTCCCTTGTTAGATATTGTGGAGAGCACTTATATTGTATTGAATGTTTTTAAAATGCAGTTTTAATGTTTTATGTATTGGGCATTGGCCCCATCTGTACGCCGCCCTGAGCCTGTTTGCGGAGAGGGCGGGTTATAAATTTAAATAAATAAATAATAATGCAGCCGTGCAGCAAATAGTGGGAAATTGACACATACGATTGGAGCAAATGGAAGATTGAGGACGGAGCAGTGGCTTGTGGGAAATCGGTCACAGTGAAAGAGTCCAAAGACAAAAGCTTCATTCTTCAGTTTAAAAAGAAATCCCTGCTTTACTCATCTTCTCCTGCACCATCAGGACAGAAGTATTTTGGATA